CAAACCAACTCTTCTGTTTATTTCACTAATGACTATGGAGAAAGAAGCATGCTATACCACAGCTCGGGATTTAGTTGTCTTCATTTTCTGTTTATGTGTTAAATCAAAATAACACTGCTGTGGTTCCTCTGACTCACACGATCACAAAGGATTAGTGCTGGTTTTCCATGAACACGAACCCCCTGAAATGGGAAGAAAGTGGCATGTTCTTTGAAAGTATAGGGCATAGAGGTAATTGCTACCAAAAGGAAAAGAATAAGCAAGGCCAGGTTGCTAGCCCCTTGTCAAGGCTGCGTCTGCTCAGTGCTCGTAGCTTCCGGCAACGGTCAACAAATATAAGTAGGGAGATCATATCCATAGGTTGGCGTGTGTTTGTGTCCATATGTGTACTGTGTATAACATTTTTTTCAGCATAATTCCCACAATTCACATTAGTCTATTCTATTTTAAAGACTTGGGTCAGAATACACATGTACCTAAATTGCTTGTTTAGGAAATACCATCACTGTATGAACAAGAATAATATTGCCCAATAATGCTCCTCCTCATCTATGTGAGTGAGCACTTGATTCCTGAGAAGATGGTTTCATCTTAGATCAGCAGAGGTTACTAAATGAATTTGGTTAAAAAGGAGAGCAGGAGGGCATGGTTAGTTTTACTGTGGTGCCCCCTAGTGCCAGGTAAGATTAGGTTAATTTCTGTATTGCCAATCTTTAGATCCCATACAAGAAGGAAAATGTGGAAAATCATCAGTGTTCGTAACTGCCCCCTTTGGCATAAAATATAATATATCAAGTTTCCCAGCATGGTTTCCAAGATCCTTTGCCATCCATGCCTGCCTAGATCTTCAGCTTCTACCTCCATCCTCTCCGAACACTCAGCGTCAGTCCTGTGGAATGATTTGCTCTTGTGTCTACCCTCCCCACCCCTCCTATCTGTCTTCCCTCTAACTTTGGTTGAATTGTGTTATCTCTTCCCTCTGTTCCTCTGACTTCCCACACACATTCCCAGACATCTCAGGCAACTCTTCCTCTCCCCCCCCTTGCCCCCACCTGTTGACCCTTGAGCAAGTGTCCAAGTCTCTTGTCTTCTTGCCTCACCTCAAATCTTGACCATTAATCCAAAGAGTTTAAAAGAAAAAGAAAAAAACATTCTTCAATGCCGTTTTTTTGTTGTTATTATTATTGTTCTAAAGGTTCAAACAGTGCTCTATACAAAAAAAGCATTCAGGACGAATGTAAGGATGCTTTACCTGATAAAAAGAATCCTAGGACAGGAGTCAAAATTGTCTAGTTAATTAAGTATATAGGTGATCATGAGCAGTTTACCTACCTTCTTTTGGCTTTTTTTTTGTAAAAAAATGTGGCTAATACCTACTCAAAAACCCAAGGTCTTTGGGCCATTTCATTAATACACACCACCAGAGCCTCAAAATTCTTTATGAGGAATTAATTCAACACTCCAGATGTCTTTTTTTGGATTCTCAAAGAGTTGCTCAGAAAAAGCAAATTCTACTTTCATTTGAAGTTATTTTATGTATATGGTTGACTAATTTCTAAGAAAAAGACATGTTAGAGTACATATAGCCACTTAAATTAAGCTAATTCTAGACGAAGAGTTAAGGCAAATTCCTCTTTCCGGTATTTAACAATACAAAAATAAACTGTTGAAGTTATGATATGAAACATCACCAAGAAACTGAATTCTAATTCTGGCTCTCCTTCATACAGACCACTTCTGCTTTTCCCAGCAGAACAAGCAACAAGCAGGTGGGATTGGCTAAGGAAAAAGTCTTCAACTCAAAAAAAAAAAAAAAATCACAATAAAAGTAACACAGAGCTTGGAAGACTTCAACAGCCCTAGAACATACAGATATAATTTACCAAAGCTCCTCACAGGCTGGAGAGATAGTTTGGATGATAAAAATATTTGCCTAGAAAATAGGAGAACCTAAATTCAATCCTCAGAACTCACATAAAAATGCCAGGCATAAGAGTGTGTGCTTGTAATCCTGGTGCTGGGAAGGCAACGCCAGGAGGATCCCTGGCTTCTACTCACCAGACAGTCTAGCCTAATTGGTGCACTCCAGACCAATGAGAGATGTTGTTAAAGAGAGTGGGAGGCATTTCTGAGGGTGACATTTGAGTTCCTTCTCTGGCCTCCACATGCAATTGCCCATACACATACAGCCATGTACATAAACACAAGCACCCACACATAAACCTATACATATGCATACACATACATATACATATACACAGCCACAGCCACCACACTAAGAACAAAAAGATTCTCACCTCCTAGACCAGCTTTCCTTCTGCCATTGCTTGCTAGCTAAAGTTCCAGGTAAGACTGAAGCCTGGCACCTTAACTGGCACCCCAGGGTAATGCCCAGTGCGCAGAGTCAGCAGCCGCAGCATTTGGTTTTATAATTCAAGTGGCTGATATTCTAGAGTTTTTGTGTTTTTCCTCAATCTAAACAAGGTATTTTGTGAACTCAGAATAGGTTATTTCAATAACTACAGAGAGCATAAATTAAGTATAGAAAGTATATGCAGGAAAATAGGTTTTCTTCCAGGCTAGGCTTAAGAGCCAAGAAAGCTGTACATTTAGGCACAAAAATATGCTAATGCACCCTTTCAGTTCCTTCAGTCCTCAGGCCTGTTCTTTGAAATGACATGCTCATTAGCTGCTGAGCTGAAAGAGACCTCAATATCCATCTCTTACAGCCATCTCCTGTTACCAGTGGGAAAACCAAGAACTCTGTAAGATGTAGGTGAGGGCTCTCTCTCTCTCTCTCTCTCTCTCTCTCTCTCTCTCTCTCTCTCTCTCTCTCTCTCTCTCTCTCTCTCTCTCTCGGCCGGGGGTGGGGAGTACATTTCAAAGACAAAAACTGCTTTTCATATATGTGAATGAAATTTAACCCAGTAATTACTATTACTAAATAAACTTGAAGAGAAAGATGACTTCCAGATAGAGTTTAGAAGCTGTAACTTCAGAATCTTGAATGTAGGAAATTAAGGCTAAAAAGTAAAGCTAAGAAATAAGGGGGGGGGTAGGATTCTTTTTTTTTTTTTCAAAATACCTTGCTCCTACAACAGAAAAACCCACTTTCCTGGGTACAGAATAAGCTGAGCAGTTCGGTTTCCTCTGACACATCACTACAATGTATGTCTCCCAGGAGAGGCTTAATTGCATCATCCCCCACCACCTGGTCCACCACGCCAAACATTAGTATTTCAAAGTCTCACCAGTCCCTCAGACAAAGACGTTATCTTCTCCCCTCTCATCTCTTCCTCTGTCAACACAGTTTGACCAAGCTCCAGAGAAAATGCTTTCCATCTATCTATGCTCTCCTCCCCTTAATAAGTGAGATTAAATATAATGATCCAGAGCATTACCCAGGTCCTAGAACAGTGTAAAAATTCTAAATAGCTAAGCCCCCAGATCGTCTCTATCAAGAGCAAACAGCTTCAATGTCCAATGTACCTCTCCTACTTTTGATTCCATTTCTGAGCCAAGAGCATAGGAAACAAACTCCCTCCGAGACTGCAGCTCACCTCAAGGACCTTGAGATATGGCCTTGGCTTGATTCCCCACCTCTGCCAAAGAGCTGCTGGGTGACTTGAAGAAAGGACACCTATTCTTACCGTGCCCTGGGTAAGACTGTCCACGGAGGTCCCAGACACCAGCAGTTTACACCTGTATTTCACTTTTTATTCTCCCCTGCCCTTGCCCCGTTCCTTTGTGTGCCTGGTTACCCTTAACTGGGGCCTTGTATCCTGTCTTCATCATCCCACAAAGTAAGGAAACACACAGCCCTGCGGTTTGAAAAGGCTCAAGACTCCCTGACCTATTCAACGCTGGTCTATTTTTGGTTGCTCTGTTTGCTTTCTTCTCAGAAGAGCGTAATTCTGGTCTGCATCTTAGGCATCTTACCTCGGACACAGTACTCTACCCTGTCACCTTCTCCCCAAAGTGCCTACTTGTCATCCAGAGTCCTGCAAGAGTCCTATGTGAAGTGGGGGAAAGAGGACCAGTATGGTGGTGCTCTGATTGGCCAAGCACCACACCAGCTATATTCTGGAGCTTGTAGACACAAGCAAAAAAGCACTCTACACGGTTCAGCAGTCATGAACACATACACTCCCACCAGCTTCTATATACTGAAAATCTCACTTCCTGTAAACAGAGACAAGCCCAGGCATTTGCCTGGACAGTTTATCATATCCTGATTTAATTTGAGGTAGCTGTGTCTCTGACATGTCCCTTAAAAATAAGTTCCATTTTGTATGTCATCCACCAGGGAAAGACTTCCTGACATAAAGCAATCACTGAGGAAATAAGAATTATGAGATCCAACAAGGGATTAAGGGGAGACTATAGAGAGTTACCTTCTACAATGAAGAACATTTTAAAAAAATAGGCTTTTAGAGTGGTTGTCAAAAAAGACTACCAGATTAAGTTATTGATGTAAGTGTGTGAGCACGTATGCAAACAAATGCGCGCACACATGTTGCAGCCCTTCAGATACAAGGGTAGTGATGGGAAAGGACTTAATATTGACCCCTTCGAGATTTTTAAAAAACCAGGTCCCCTTGAGTATCTGCAGATGCATAAGATAGGAAGTAAATGAGTCTGTTACTGTAACTCATCTCCTTTTTATATTGACCTCTTGATCAGACACGTAGCCACCAGGATGAACAGACAAATCAATGACCCAAAGCTTCAGGGTGACAGCTCATCAAGACACATTGGGATTTTTGCATTACAAAGAAAAAGACAAAAAAAGAAATCTAGAGCAGGGTCTCTCTGCTAACTATTGAAATAGGAAGGAAAGGAGACATCAAAGGGTATTTGACCACACTTTACAGTCACCTGATAGCAGTGGCAGAGCCCTCAACAGTTTCAGCATTCAATTATTTCCAGGTGACTGCAGCTGTTGTAACTGTCATTCAGCAAGAGCTGGAGGAAAAGCAGCACTCACTGGTGCATCTTACCGGAGAAGGATAGAGGTGCAGGCAGATGTAGACCAGGCACAGGAGTAGCCCCATTCCCTGAATCCCAGAGACCACCATTGATAGCTTCTTCCACTTGAACCTTGGCCTTGATCCGTTTTCCAGATTCTCATCCAGAGGTTGAACCCTTTCCCCTTCCATCTTCACGGTCCCGGTGCAGAGAAGATGCAGATGTGGCGAAGGGGAACCTGGGGAAGACTGGTCTTTACCACACAGAGGATAAGGGCAAAGCCAAGCCTGTGGGTCAGAAGATAGACAAAGGTCCCAGAACCTGAGACAAAAGGCGATTGAAGGAGTGGGCCAGACTCTCTCAGTTTTAACTCTGCAGATTTTGCAGGCGGGGGAACTTCTATGTGACTAATCTGAATTTCCCCTTTACTTTCTTTCTTTTTTTTTTTTCCCTCTGGGCTAACAGGGAGTTGTTTTTGTGGCATTCCAGTTATGAATTGAGTGACTTCTAAATGGCAGTCACAAACATGTGCTGTTAAGTTTTTTATTGCAGTTAAGTTTTTTTATTGCACCAGTAAAGATAGATAAAGATCATCTTTTTTCCTTTTTCTTTTTCTTTTTTCTTTTCTTCTTCTTCTTCTTCTTCTTTTTCTTCTTCTTCTTCTTCTTCTTCTTCTTCTTCTTCTTCTTCTTCTTCTTCTTCTTCTTCTTCTTCTTCTTCTTCTTCTTCTTCTTCTCCTTCTTCTTCTTCTTTTTTAGCAGTTCACTTACCAATCCCTCAAGACATCTTAAACCACAGAAGAGATTTGAGGAAAGTGCTGCCCTGACATCCTTGTCTCTGTTATGCAATTATTCTCCCAGCCCATTTTACAGATTAAGAAATAAAATCCATGCAGCTTGTTCTTGAGATGAAAAGGACTAAAAGGAAAACAGGACAGTGGATTATGCAGATAGGTATAAGGGCGAGATCTTATAGTTACATAGTACATTACATGAAACCAAATAAATTAGTATTTATTGAGCAACTATTGTGTGTCGGACACTGTGTTAAATGACCTTGCAGCCATCATATTTATTCATTTCAGGAAAACTCAATAAATACATAATTAATTTTCTTAATATCAGAAAAGAAGCAGAAGAAAATTCTGCCATCCCCCCCCCACCCCTTCACTTCACTTTATATTTTCCCCACACATAATTTCTGCATGAGTAATTCAAGTAACCTTTGAGCGTTGCTATTTTCTTTGAAGTGCTGACTGGACTCAAAACCTGCTAAGTAAAAATATCTTCCCAGGGCTGGAGAGATGACCCAGTGGTTAAGAGCACTGGCTGCTCTTCCTGAGGCCTGGGGTTCAATTCTCTGCTCTTACATGGTGGCTCACAAACCATCTGTAATTCTACTTCCAGAGGATCTGATGAGCTTTTCTGACCTTTATGGGTACCAGGCATTCAAGTAGTACACATACATGCAAGCAGAACATCCATATATTGAAAAAAAAAAAACCTTTTATCCTTCCAATAGACATTGATTACCCTTTCTCACTGACATGCACAATGAAATTAAATAAATGTGAAATAATAATGTCAAGTCCAAAATGGCAAAATATTGAGTATGTAATATGAAGTCCATGCTATATGAGATAGCACAGGGATGCTGAACATAATTCTCTCTCTCTTTTATGGGAAAGTGTGTCTCATGGTTTCTCATGGAGACTTCAACAGACATTTAAAGAAAGAAGTGTGAGAAAAATATCCTGAATACTAAAAATATAAGAAGGTACATGAAACTTCATATTTTTCACAATTAAAAAAAATCATGGATATGAGGTATATTCAAAAGAAAAACAAGTTGCAGGAAATGGAAAGTACTTTGCCACAATAGTCAACAATTTAAATGAGTTGATGCCTTCATTGTAATAATGGTGCTTTGCATTTGAAGAACATCCTGGGAGCTAAGGCAGGCATCCAAGATTTAAAGCCAAATGTGGAACTCAAGTTCCGAAAAAGCTACTCTGCCACAGAGATTCCCTCAGCAAGCGTGAGCGAGGCACAATGTGAAGACAAAAGGTGAAAGAAAAATCAGTGTGTAACTCCTACCTCGCATAATACACAACAGTTATATCAAGCAACATTTTACTCATCTATTTTCAAACAATGACTGAAAGAGATGATAGGGAAAAAAGCCTTAAACTAGTAGAAACTAGACACAAACTGAAAAAGTAGAAAGTGCATTCATGTTGAAAATCATAAGGAATAGTCTGGCTAGATGTAAGTGTGTGTGTGTGTATGTGTGTGTGTGTGTGTGTGTGTGTGTGTGTGTGTGTGTGTGTGTGTGTGTGCAGGTATTTGCATGTGGGGGGAGCATGTGCATGGGGGGATGTGCAAGTGGAGGTGGTGGAGAGAGCACATGCTTGTGTGTATACATGTAGTGGTGGAGGTCGATGGACATCAGGTGTCTTCTTCAGTTGCCCTCCGACTTAGTTTCTGAGGAAAGGTCTCTTGCTGAACCAGGAGCTCGCATTTAGATTAGACTGGCAAGCATGCAAGGATTCTCCTGTTTTAACTCCCTAGAGCTGGGGACTCCAACCAGCTTTTACATGGAGGTTGGGGATCAAATTCAGGACCCCGTATTTGCACAGCAGGTTCTTTACTGATGAACCATTTCCCCCAAGTCTTGGGGATATTTTAAATGACTGCCAAAAGGACAAGGAAATAAATAAACAAACATCTATGAACACAAATCTGTGCACCATGCATGTAGCTTCCTTTATCATTAGCATCATGCTCCTCTGAAGAAAAATTAACAAATACCTTTTTCTTATACACAGTGGGAACTGTAGAACTGTTTGGTATCTTGGGCCAAGAAAGCAGAGGCAGTTGAGCCAGCCCTGAAGCTGCACAGTCATGCTGTGTTTCTCCCTCTAGACCTCCTACTGCTATGATTTGGCTCCTATGATCTTTACTGACGTGTCAGTGGTATCTTACACTTGTTTCTTTTTTATTGACCACATTCTCTCAGCTTCTTCACAGCCTTTGTGGAAGGGAGAACACACAAAAATGTACACACATGAGTGCATACACATAAACACACACACACACACAGAGAGAGAGAGAGAGAGAGAGAGAGAGAGAGAGAGAGAGAGAGAGAATTATAAAACAAGTTGGGAATTCTGGATGAGATATTTTGATAGACTATGTGAGTGCCTCAAAGCCCATCACAGACTGCTCTAGCGTTTGAACACCACTGATTAAAAACCACTGTCAATTACATCATTGGTGGCATTTTAGTCCAGGGAAGATTGGACAGGGATCTCCATCTTGTAAATGCATTTTAATAAAACATAGTTGAAATGTTTGTAAAGAACTTGAATGAATTACTAACTCTGTGGACAGTGTGTTTTAAAACAGCTTACAAAAATAAATATGTCTGCCTGAATAAACTAGCTTTGAATGGTAGCCTAGAAAGCAAAACAAACCAAAGTGATTACTTCTCATAGACATTAACTTCCTATAGAAATAACCAAAACTATAGAGAAGTATGGAAAATAAAAATACTTCAAAAGCTGACAGAATATCTCATGTTCAGAAAGTAGCAAAACTTTTGGGGGCTTTTTTTTTGGCTTGGGGATTTTGTTGTTGTTTTGGGGTTTTTGGTATTTGGGGCTTTTTGTTTGTTTGTTTGTCCATTTGAAAAATCTATGTACGTCATCATTTTCCACTCAGTAAGCCTGGACCAGGTGCCTTAATCCTGGTGCTGGGGAAAAACACATGACTAAAACACATCCTCAAGAAGAGTCACAGATAGGAAGGCAGGATAGCCACAGCCTGGAAGATGTTGGAGCTGAGGAGTCAACAAAAGGAGGAAGGATGCAGCAGGAGGGTACCATTCTACACTGAAATTTAAATTTAAAAGGGAGTAGCTTCCATAAGATGAGTTGGGTAAATCTTAGAGAAACCACAAGTCTGGTCTTCTAAGGAAGTAGGGACAGACATGGGGACAGAAGCAGCCTGTTAGACTCTGAGTAAATCTTGCTTGTGCCTTGTACATTCAGGGAACTGTAGCTGGAGAGATGAATGGTGGGTGAGTGCCTGGGAAGCTTTCCTGAAATGAATTTTATTACATGTCAAGGACTTCAGAATGTTCCTTGAAGGAGTTAGGGAAACCCTTACAGGTTTAAGTAAAAGGTGATGGGAATTATATTTTAGACTTTTTTTTTTATAAGGACTCTGGATAGGTCCAATGCAAATGGCAGGGTAGGATTAAATGTCTCCCACTTGGGAGACATTTCTAGGGTGTTCTATGCCAGGTAAAAATGTAATCATGCTCTATAATATCACCTCTGTTTCAGCTCTCCAAGCCCCTTCATCTTTTATCTTCCTACAATGGTATATCCTATTTCCCAAATATTGAAGGGCTGCATCCATGCAGATTAATGCTCGTTTTCTAATTCATGAACCCAGAGAGGTTGCCTTGTTCCAATTCACACAACTCTTTAAGTGAGAAATAATATCATTATAAACCAAAGTAAGGAGACTAGTGAACGCAGAGGTATTTGCAGTGGCTCTTCATGCACCGAATACTTGGAACATTCACAAGGAGTTACAACGAACTATTTTGAGTGATTAAGATCTATAGGAAGTGATGGAGTCAAATGCATTTTCAAATACTAGGTTTGCCCTAAGTATTTTCACCTGCTGTGGATCCTGATGTCCTGGATTTGGTGGCCCAGGAAGCTCTGTGTCTTACAATTAGCATTGGCTTGTCTTTATCCTTGATCAGTCCAACTTTGCAGAGCTGTCTGTCCCCAGCATGTGGTTCCTGGACTCATGTTGTCTTACTCGGTCCATCCCTACTGCTTTTGACCCAAATCTGTATTCCTTCTCAGTTGAGCTCCTAAATTAAACTTCCAACCCCTCTCTCTACTTCCGTTCTCATTGATTCCCAAACCATTTGTTTCTTATGCTCAGTGAGATCATAATCATATGAAGAGTTGAAATTCTCTGGGCTCGGAGATGACTCAGCAGATAAAAGAAGTTGCAGCCAAGCCTGATGACCTGAGTTCAAACACACGCAAACACACACACACACACACACACACACACAGAGAGAGAGAGAGAGAGAGAGAGAGAGAGAGAGAGAGAGAGAGAGAGAGAGCAAAATTTAAAAACAACAGAGCTGAAATTCTCTACCT